CCGTTCAGGAGTAAAAATATGGTTGGAAGGGAAGCCTCTGTCAAGAGCATGCTGTGCTAAAGGAGAAGGCATCAACTTTTTCCCCCTAGACTTTCTGGATGGCGGCTGAGTAACAATTGCTGCAACCTAAATCACAACAAATTCATCATTCATACTGCAAGCAATTACTCAGTGTTTCTGCACAATCTAAATAGTATCATCTTTTTGACCGGGCAAGATGAGTCCCTACTGAGATTTTTTATTTTTTATTTGTGTGTACGAAAGATTATTCCTTCAAGGATTGCAATATTAGTAAACCTATACACAATATGCCAAAATTTTAACAAGTTTGACATAAAACTGAACCAATCGATCCCTTAGCTATGCCTGATGACCTACCAACACAATGAAAAGGGATAACTGCAACACAGCCAAACTGATTAAAACTTAACTCCAATTACGATTTTTAACCATCCAATATGACCGCCCCTTCCGCATAATGTACTAAAAGGGCAAGTTACATCTTCTAAATTGTATACAAACCGATAAGACAAACACTATAATCATCAAAATGAGAAATGCTAGTGGCATCCTAAGATGAAGCCACCATAAAGTGCATCCCAAGCCAATTTTTTCATGCCAACCAAGTGCATTTTATTAGAAACCTCAATTCCCTTAAAGACCAAACATGAGAGTAACATAACAAAAAATAAAAAGTCGAAAGATTTTACCCAAGAAATAGAAAGAAACCCCATTTTAAGCTGAGAATAAAGGAGGCAATTATATAGCTCGACCCAAAGGAAAATTTGTTTCAAATACCTCAAACAAAGAGTCCGGAGAAGTGGATGCATTGAGAAGGGCATCAAGAACAATTGCAGATACCTTCAGAAAAGTAAACATTTTATGTCATCATGATGACAAATGTACACATACGTATATATGTAGAGAGAGAGAGAGAGAGAGAGAGAGAGAGATAAGCAGAGACAGAGAGAGATGAGACCTGAGGAGAGCCTAAGAAGACGAGGGGCTTCTTGTTGGAAGCGAAGCATAGAGTAGAAGAAGCTGAAGAAGAAGAAGATGAAGTTGCGGCATTGAAGCACCAGAAGCGACGAAACACCAGTGACGAATTCATTCCAGTTCCTCAACTTATTTTCAGTTTTTTCTCTTTGGCACCTAAGAACAGAAGAATGCGTTATCCGCTTCTTCTAATTTCAGTTTCACCAATCTGCCAATTTGCTCCCTCAACTTAAACTTCTTCCTTACTGTCAATTTGGCCCCCGATAAATTGTTTTTTAAAAACTTGAGACTCGAACTATTTTAATTAGCCAATTTATACTTTTAATTTGGAACTGAAACTGATTTTAAAGGTTTTTATTTTTTATTTTTTGCTTAAAGTTAAGGTCAAAACTGTCCCTGTATTTTATTTATTTGGCCCCTTTTTCTTTTTCTTTTTTTTGTTTTCTTTTTTTTGTTTTTTTTTTTGGGCGAAACAGTAGAGATTCATTTAAAGAACAGGACATAAACCTAGGATACAACAGTAAGAACACAGCCCCCGAATGAGGTTCTTGCACTATAGAGACTGTAACAACACCACCAACTAAGCACAAATATTACAAGATAGTTAGCAAACAAATATACAACTTGAAATCCAGCTAATAAGGAGTTACAGATGAGGAGGACCCTAATTCTACAGCAACTAGTGCTTAAATAAGATCAAGACAGAGAACAATCTCTCAAACTTCATGGGACAGGAAACACCCCAAGAGTGGAGGGCATTACCCCAACGGAAAACCTGTAAAACATTGACTGTATCGAAGGGAAGCTTTGCCGGTTTTTAAGCTTTTTATGGCGACTCCGGCCATCGTTTCCGTCGAGTTAGGTATATTTTTTAATCAATTTTCCATGCTCTATCCGTTTATATAAATAGATTGGATCAACTTTGTGGTTTTACGGGTTGATTTAGGCACCCAAATTAGCCGGCTATAAGGTTGTTTTTCCGGCCACTCCGACCACCTTTTGGTCTGGGTCCAAGAATTAAAAAGACTCCCCTTGATAGTCTGAACCAAGGTCTTAAATATCGGAGGTATCGGAAATATCGGAAGTCAAAAAACACGGAAATATCGCAGGAAATATCGGGACATTATCGGTATCGGAAAAAATTGAATAAAAACCACGGAAATTGTAAGAAAAACTTGGAAATTTTTATTGAAACTTTGCAGGATGTTTATTTAGTCAATTATCTATTAGTTTATCACAAAAAATTGAAAGGAAATGCATTGCATGATGGATTTAACTGATTTAAGTTGATTATATAGCGAGCTAGCAAACACCGTAAGTGTAGAAAATATGTAGTAATTAATGAAAGAAGATTAAACACACCATAATCATTTATATATAATGAATTACTACAATATTTTACACTTTATACATTGCATGGTAAGATACATGAGTGACTTAGTACCACATAGAGTTCCTATGAGGTTCAAAATTTTCACTATCTTCATCATCTCTATGTGTAGAGTAAGTATATTTTGAAGAGTAGTCATCAAATGATAAATCCCCAAAATAATTTTGCATGTAATTGTTAACATGCCACCCATATGGATCCGAGATTGGTTGACGTTGTCCATAAGCAAAATCATTTGAAGATTGAGTCTCGGATTCTTTCCATGAGTCGCTTGATTCCATCCCAACAGGAATGAGATATGAAGGGTAGGGAAATGGTTGGTTATGAGTATAACCATAGTTACTACTCATCTCATGTGAAAATTTGTTTCTTGCAAAAAGAATTCAAAACAAAACCATGTATATATATA